ACTCAAACTGACACTACTATAACTGAAACAAATAACTACACATGCTGTCCTACGAACACAGTGGGGACCACTGCAGTGAGGCCCACATCAGTGTTCTCTACAGCTCTCAAATTCAAAACCTGATCCATGGATGCATCCATGAAAATCACTGTGTCAGCCACATACTGTAAATGGGAAATGCATGGACCATCTACCCCCACTTTAAAACCTTCAAGCAGACTAAATTCCACCCGCTTGCTAAGTAGCAGGTTAAGGGTCTTTATAACTAGCGCAAACAAGGGAGAAATGGGGTCTCCTTGCTTCAAACCCCTTGAAGCTTGAAAGAACTCTGAGGGCACACCATTCAGCAGAATTGAGAATGACACTGTTGATACACAAGCATAAATCCAGCTCCTCCACTTTTCCCCAAATCCCATTAGCCTCTGTACCTCCAGAAAACCCCATTCCACCTGGTTGTAAGTCTTATCAATATCAATCTTACAAACCAGCCCTGGCCTCCCCCCATTCCTAAATCCTAATTCTTGAGTCAATACCCTCACTTGCAACAAGAACATCCAAAATTTGTCTACCTTACACAAAAGCCATCTGAGTCTCACCAACTGCTTCATGAATCCCCCCTCAGCCTTTTTGACAGAACTTTTGCAACCAGCTTGTGAGGACTACAAATCAATTATTGATCGAAAGTCTTTTAATATCAAGAGCCCCATCTTTCTTAGTTATTAAAGAAATAAATGAAGCATTATCCATTTTTTCCAGCAGTTTAGAATCAAAGAAATCCTTGAACATTGACATGAAATCTTGCTCTAACGTTCTCCAGCATGATTTAATAAAACAAAAGTTAAAACCATCATGCCCTGGTGCTTTATCTCCTGATATTCTTTTTAAAGTCCCCTTAACTTCAGCAACCTAAAACTCTCTTTTGAGCCAGTGCACAGCAAACTCACTTTCTTAGCTTCAGTTCCCCCTAGTGCCACCCAACTCCACCGCCTTGCTGTATATAAACCTTTTTTTTATCAATAACTTAACCTTTTATTAAACCTTTATAGATATTGTATATAAACCTCTATAGAATCCCACCACTTGAATTTCCATCCAAGTTTCTGCCACCTCATCTCCAGCTTTCAGTCAAATGGCTCTAGATTTCTTCCTTCAGCACATCTCTTCCCTCTGAATTATTCTTTCCAGATCATTCTTCAGACTCTCCCTTTTCACCTTATTAGTGATGTGCTTTCAACCTTCATCTGTCAAATTCTAAAAGCTTTCAGATAAGACCTCTTTAAACTAATTTGACCCTTTAAGATAATTAACAATATTTTTACAATACCAACAAACTAGATTATAACTTTCAAAAAGCTCAAATTGACCAAAAACTGAATCACCAAAAAATATGTAATTTCCAATTTTCCACTGGCGTATGAATTTGAGGGTATTTGATTTCTTTCTTTTTTTCATGTCTGCACTGTTCTTAATATTTTATTTGTTGCCTATATGGGAAAAATAAAGAACAAGCTGATCGTTTATAGGATGATTGTCTAGAAATGGTATCAGCTAGAACTTTTTCCCCTCTTTCTTTTTTTGATAATTAACAGGAATTTCATTAATATGAAAAACTATATATACAAATTTACATTCTATTTGTACACAGGCCATGACCTCTCCCCAATCATGTATATTACAACTTAGCCCAGAGCAAATGATTTCCCGTAACCACTCCATAGAGTTAGCTGATCTATGAACCATAATGTACCACAACTTTTTTTCCATGATGTACATAATGGAGCATTTATGGCCTGCTAAAGGCCACATTGGACTTTTCCTTTTGTAGGTGAATGCTTCAATTGCAGGCGCCATAGCTGGAGCAGCTATTGCTGCCAGGACAAGAAGCTGGACACAAGTATTTGGTATGGCAGCCCTAGTTTCTGCCCTTAGCACTGCTGCTGACTACTCAAAGATAAGCTGACACCCCTCTTGGTAAGGGCCTTAGGTGGAAAGGAATTGATGTTTGCGTTTTGCTTTCCTTTACATTGTATGCTCAGCTTTCTACCAACCACCTGAATTTTGTGATTTCTTATTCTTGGATTAAGGTCTTCACTCTTTAGTGGTAAAATTTGGTTGCATCGAGTCGTGATGCATTTAGATGTCATACACATGTTGAAACTATTATTTAGAAGAAAAAAAATAGTATCGTATATGTCATGTTTTCAATCATTATTTGTATATACTATTATAGGAGTTTTCATCCCTGTCAACTTATTCTAGGTAGGTATCTTTTGTATTGCAATTCCATGAGCTAAATTACTTTATTAGCATCTCTGATAATCTTTAGAAATAAAACTTTCAGAAGCATGTGCATTTTAAGTTGTCTCCGAGTCACCATGTCGAACACCTCTTCCAATGTTGGACAATGCATTTATCCTTGTACATGGGTTGGAACATTTTGGTTACTGTTGCAACTGTAAAGGCCACCAAAGAACATTTACCTTCTTTGTCTAATAATTATTTCAAATGTTTTTTTTTAAAGGTAATTATTTCATCAAAATATTAGACAGGTTGTTCTTTGTAAAGCTCTATACATTTTGACAAAATTAGACATTTGACATTCTCCCAGCTTCCAGTAATGCATTAACTTTTAGTTTATTATCTCATGTTAATACAGCTTAGCTCATGTCTTGAATGTCGGGCATTTCTTATGTGACATGATAACTAGGTTGATGTTAGCTTCTTAGGCTCCGTTTGGTTTGAGGGAAAGTTTGGGTGGGATGGGGTGGGATGAGAAAGTATGAAAATTTTACTTTCCACCGTTTGGTTGTACAAGGGAAAATTGTGCAAAAATTTATTTTCTCATGTTTGTTTTTTGAGAAAATTCATTTTCCCATGTTTCTTTCCCTCTCATATTATGAATTAATGAAGTGAATTAAGGGCCAAACAACCAAACTAGTTGATGTAATCCAACTTATATATATTTTTAGAATCATATTTTAACGATATTGATTGTAACCATCACATTTGATACAAACCAATGATGGGCCCACATCATTTGAATTTCATATGGCAAGTTATGGCCCCATGCAACATCAGCTAGTAGTCCTATTTTGCAACCAATTGACCTGTATCTATAATTGTGTTACTGCCCTTGGACAATAGAGCTAAGTTGGATTCCTAATGATAGACGTTCATTAATCAGTAAAGCTTAAGGCTTATGTTATATGTGCATCAAAAGATTTTGCAAGTATTAGAATGATAGCTTACATAAGAGCGAACATTGAAGCGTTGGGGTTAGAGTTTTGTAATTTTACTGGTAAACAAAATTTAGACTCATTCAAACATTTATATTTTGTCTGGACTCCCCACTTAAATCATTTCAATCTATTTAGTTTTGACCGTAGTAAGATGCAAAAGCATATCTAAGATGTTGGGTCTTTTCTTTGCATATTGCCAAAGACCACAGTAATTATGATTTCTTTGCATATTGCCAAAGACCACAGTAATTATGATTTCTTTGCATATCAAACTCGCCACACATTTGATACAAATAAACTAAAAATAAAGGCCAAGAGATCCTAACCAAGGGTCCAAGTTTTGAGGCATCAAATCTATGAAAAGTCCTTGCTTCAATTAATTTTATAATTAGGCTAGTTCCTCCTCTTAAACTAAAACAATAAAAAAATTCAAAAGCAGAATTAGATGCCATTAGACTTGCAAATTTCAAAGATGTCAAAGCCTAAATGTTGGGTTAAAAGATTGGCTAATTCCCTAGTTGACGGTTTAGCTAAACAAGGGGCAGAAAGGGATTCATTGTTTTGGGCTAAGTTGTAACTTAAGTGTTTTTTTTTTCTTTTTATTTTTCATTCTTTTTCCTTTTCTTGAGGTTCTTTGTTGCTCTTGGAAGATAAGTGTGTTTGTCTTCCTCTTGTAAATCTTCTATTGATGATTTAATGAAAGTGTTATTGATAAAAAAAAAAAAATGTTGTTTCTCCATCACCAACTTCAAAACATCTGAATGATGATCTGGATGATAGGAATTACATAATCTTGGCATTGTGGACTCCCTCTTGCAGAATGGTGGTATTGCTGAAAGAAAATTTTGTAGCATTAAGAAATACATGAATGATGTACTGTTGTGAACTCAATCCAGTTTCAGCATTCTTTCAAGGAAAAATAGCATCAAAGGCTGCAATTAAAACAGCTTCCAGATCGGACCTGACAAGTATATATTAATAGCATCATCACACTAATAACATAGAATGGTGATTAGACAATATAAATAAATAATATATATATATATATATATATATAAGTTCTATGCAGGCCTAGAGAAAAACATGATTGTTGCTTCCCTTTTCTCAGCCCTAGCCATTGCATCACATATGTTTACTACATCACCCTATTTTCAGCTTAGGTGCCCCTACATTATAGCATCTTCTCATATTGTTCCTTTCCTTTTCTTTTGAATGGAAGTTGTTATCAATTCCTCCATGTGGCAGTGAAATGTGGTTCTGTGGCTGCAGAATTCTTTCATCAGATATGTTTATAACTAAAATGGTTGTCTTGGCTCTTATTTATCGTCATTTAGAGTATTTTAATTGTCAGGGATTTGTGTGAAGTCTGATTCAAATGTTACTTTGTTTAGTTTTAGAGAGAGATTTGTATGATGCAATATCAGTAATGCTTTTTCTCAAAAAAAAAAAAAAAGTAATGCTTATACAATGTTTTAAAAGGCAGAGGAGTAAGGCGAGATGCTAGAACCTTTCAGAGCATGGGTTGTAAGCTTTATAAGAACAAATATATAACCATGTGCATAGGAAATTTTATATAAGAGTGCATATGAAAATCATAATRTAATCAATTACTAAAAGCTCAAGGAAACAAAGAAAAAAACCAATGTGCTTTAGGCTTTGGGAGGCTGATTGTTTAAGGAGACTCCTAGGGCCTGTCTTGTGGGAATAGGGGTCTCAAATCTGAATCGAAATGGCCCATTCTAATTCCAACTGTTTGGGCAGAATCGGAATCACATTCCCATTCCTGGTGGAATGGCATTCCCCCGTTTGAGGAAATGGCCATTCACTCCCCCTCCCTTGGGAATGAGAATGAGATATCATTCCTAGCTTATTCCAATTCTGATTCTGATTCCCGTCTAAATCAAATGGACCCTTAGCTTAAAGTGTTATGAGATGTAGGTTGGGCTTGAGGGCGGGGGCTATGGATCAGGCCATTGGATGCAAGACTCAGTTTCCAATTTGTTGTTTGGGGGCTCATGGCAAGCTGTTTTGTGCTAGTGGACTTCAAGCTACTTCCTTGCACTTTTCTGCTCTAACTGTTTTCTTAATGGTTTTTTTTTTTTTTTTTTAGATTTTGTTAACAATCCAAGAAAAAAAAACTACATGCTTGGATATCCTTCAAAACTATATTAAAGTTGTTATTGTAAATTAAAACCACAATTAGTGGTTAAAATCCCTGTAGAGTTAAAAGAATCAACTCACATGAAAACATGGTATTGATCTTTAAATCAGTATTGTGATGAGAACCTCTACCTCAATTCATATATGAAACACATTGCATCAGCCGCCAGAGGATGTGAGGTATGTGGCTTATCATGCATGGGGTGTTCCCCCCAAGCCTTGCCCCAAGGAGTAAACTTCCACCTTTTAAAATATTAATTTGCCATACGGCATAATTGAAGACATGATGTTAATGCACCTGTATATGCTTTTCTATTACCAAATTTGTCAAGATTTGGAAAGATAATCTGTTACCAATGGAAGTGTTGGTGTGTTTTTTGTTTAACAGGAAAAAAGTGGGGTTCCTCTTGTAGCACATGAGAAGTTTCAGGAACCTAGAGAAGTGGAGGTTCTCTCTTTTCCTCTTCTAACCCCAGAAAAATCTACCCATTTGGTTCCCTCTTCTAACCCCAGATAAATGTATAGTAAATCAAGAAATGAAGTCAGCACTTCAGAAGAACCAATCGGTTCCCTCTTTTTTTTTTTTGGTAATAGCTCCATCGTCTTCTTTGATCATGGTAGAGAAGGGTTCTGAAATCAAACCAAAAGAATAGGCAGTCTTGTTGGAAGCCACAATGGAAAAAAAAAAAAAAAATGCACACCACTATAAATCGATCAAACCAGCAGTGATTTGATGATCGAATAACAAAAAAAAAAAAAAAAGAGAAATCTCAGAGAAAACCACTGTACTTGTGCATGTCCTGAAGAAGATGAAATGTAGTTTCTCCTTTGCTCGCTAAAATAGACTGTCCTACCAAATCTCCTAATAAATCTCGCCTACACAAGGATAATGGAGCTTCTCCTTGCCGAAAATAGTGAAGAAGATGAAATGGGATCAGTCATTGCAGAGACCGGCGCAATTATGGTAAAAACATTCTTATCCACCAAAATATACAAGAAAATATAGGAAATGGCTCGCCAAAGCAAGAGGAGTGTAGATCTGGTCTTACCTTTGCTTGATATCACCAAAGAAATCGCTAGAGATACAACCGTTGGAATGCTTGGCTGAAGGAAGAAGACTCTCGAGTTCAGGCCTGACAAAGCCTGATAACTTTTCTTAGTCGCGTCTCACGATTTTCCTTTCTCACTGGGATCGCACCATTTTGGTGGGATCCCATTGATCTTGCTTCTCACTCTTTTCTCATCCCATACCACTGTATCCTAACAATTAAACATGGGAAAAAGGTATCATTTAAGAATATTCCTCTTTTCCCATTACTTTCCCTCAAACCAAACGGAGTCTTAGTGAAATCCGGAAAAAAAAAAAAAAAAGAAAAGAATGATGTATTCAAAATCTTGTTTCGTCCTCATGAGAAGGGAGGGAGAAGTGAGAATCCTAGGGGCCTCTGCTCTTTGGTTCAAAAGTATGTAGCCAAGGAAACGGTCAAAGAAACAAGGCCAGAAAAGAAAAGGGTTAAGGGATTTTTTTGTTATTATTTACTGGAAAAACTTGGTTTTGGGGGATGGATGGGGAGGGTGAAGGTAGGATTTGGTCCCACGTCAGTAGCAAGTAGCAACTGCATCCACTGATATTTAGCAGTTGAGCCAGTTGGAGCCTTGTGCGTAACAGATTAACACACACACTTATATATATATAAGGAGTCTCATGCCATTCCTAATTGGGTTAAGTGATACTAAATTCATTGAAAGCATTATTTTTGCTGTATGTATTGTTTGCTAAAGCTGTATTAATTTTCATTAAATTTTTATTTTAATAATGTTTATTAGGGTCGATTATACAATATTATGTATTATATAAAATCTATTTTATACAATACATAATATAAAATATTATATATAATATGTATTATAGGTATTATATATAATATTTATATAAAAAATATAAAACATAATATAAAATGCTATATCGTACACTTTATCTATATAATATTTTAACTATGTAGTAACATGTCTAAAATGTTTTCAATAGGACCTTTGCTTGAAATTTTTGGGTAAATTACAGCTTACCACCCTGTACTTTGGGGGAAGTAACACTTGGCCCCCTAAACTTTCAGATTCAAACACTTTGTCTCCTTTATTACCCTTTCTTTTAATGTATGGAATCATTTTATCCTTTTTCTACATATTTATATAACCCTTTATATATGTTTATGTTTTGTTTTTCTTTTTATCACCCAAAGTGGGCAAAAAAAAAGAGGTTAACATACTTTGGCCTGCCCATTTTTATCATTTTTGATATCACCTTTCACTTATAAGATATTGAAAGGATATTTAGTAATTAATTTTTTCCGTCAAACAGTTAACGAAAGAGGGTAGAGGCGTAAAGCATTGGAATCTGAAACTTCAGGGGGCTAAGTATCACTGCCCAAAGTACAGGATTTTAATCTGTAACTTATCCAATTATTTTAGCTTCAGAATATGAATTTTCTCTTTATTTGAGGAAAAAACAACCAAATTTTAAATGAAAATTTTCTAACAGCAGCACTAGTGGGGGATGAGGAAAAATCTTTTGTAGATCTGCTACCCACAAGAACACCACCTACACTTAGTCATAAGAGACTGCAGCCACACATTGGGGACATCCCCGTACTTGATGCTTACTTTCATTTGGCATTGTTACTATCAGTGGACATGTTGATGCAATTTACTTAGATAATAATTAGGAAATAGAGTAGTGGGCGAGGATGGAGAAGGCGCTCACCTGTCCATTGTTGTTTTAGTATATAGATAATAGGTTCGTTTTAAATTTGAATTCTTGTTTGTTCCAATATTCTTTTAATTTGTACTGGACCAGATTGTTACCAATATGCCGGTAGAGGCATATCGGGCAGTATCGGTAGCTTTTTTTTTTTAGTTTTTGTTTTCAAATCCAATTCAGAGGGGCCGGTTTAAGGTCTGTCCACCCTTTGAACTGGTCGAAACCCCGAAACACCCCATGGAGGAGAATATTGGGCCAATATAGCCCGACACATTAATATTTTGAACCTTGATCAGAACACTGGTAGCCAAAACAGTTTTTAAGCTGCTTTGTTCATAGCAATGCTGATTTGGTCAAATCTAAAATAAATATATGAATAAATGCTTCTCACCTATAATATTTATTATTTTAAGCTTATTTTGATATAAACAGATTTAAAAGATATTATGGAATTGTTCCCTTTTTATTTATTTAGTTGTTTGCTTTTTTATTCGACCAAGTTATATGGTTGAAACAGAGAGTTGGACAATTGGACCCATGTGACCATGTCCATTTCGGTTATGATTTGGGTAAATTACTGAAACCTCCCCTAAAGTTTGGTAATAGCAACCACCTCCCCTGGACTTATTGACACAGTTGCAAGTAGAACCCCTGTGTTAGAATCCTCTAAAAAGAGGCATGAAAATGTCTGAAACACCCATGCAGTTAGTATTGAGGCTGGTTTTTATAGAAAAAACAATACAAACTTTATGAAGAGAGAGAGAGAGAGAGAGAGAGAATTTAAAGTTGCAGCTTTACTTTTGAGCAATTGATATGAAGGGCAAATTTGAAAAACAAATCAATTTAAGAAAAGAGATTGAAAGGGTTTGAGATAGTAATTCATATGTATAGAAAACTTGTAAAATAAACATTTTTGTCAAAAATAACTACATGGGTATTTTAGACATTTGCATGCCTCTTTTTGGAGAATTCTAACAAAGAGAGTCTACTTGCAACTAGGTCAAAATTTCAGGGGAGGTGATTGAAATGATCAAACTTCAGGGGAGGTTTCAGAAATTCACCTTTTTTGGATGGATCTGATGAATTGGTTTTTCCGGTCATTTTGTGTAGTCTTTGAGAATGTTTGGTTCCGTTTATGTTTATTCAGTAAACCTTTTGTACTCGTGCGACTGTAAAACTGAGAAAAGCAATTAATAAGGGCATTTATGACACATAGGTGCCATTAGGCACTATATCAGCAAAATGCCAATAAATGCCTACTCGTTTTAAGAAGCTTTATATTCCTGAAACAGGAGAGGCACACAGAAACCGAAGTTTGATACACAAATACAATCAATGAGGCATTTGCTGACAGGGTGCCTATGTGGCACTGTCAATAAACGTTTACTCAATAAACTTAGTCGGAACCAAACATATACTTTATGAGTGAATTATAAATTAACAAGGTCAAGGATTGCTGGCCCTACCATATTCTCATTTTTTTTTCTGTCAAATTTGCTGTTGTCTTCTTGAGAAAATTAACGAATATTGAAAAATAGTAACAAAAACAACCACATTGCAGATGGGGGAAGTTTATGACGCCGGAAAGGCATGATATCGAAAGAGCTTTGACTAATAAAACCGATCCATAAATTTTGATAAATACCACTCAATTAGTTAACATGTGTTTATGATTTCTGATTGATTGGTCACAGTTTTTTAGATTAACGTAATTCCCCTATCATAGTCTAACCCCATCGTACATACTTCTGATACATGTTAAGGTCATAGCGTAATTGTAAATTTATGATGATAAAGTCAAGGAGGTGAGGCATGGCATTTACAGTTTCTAAAACAGAGAATAAGTTTCAAGACCTTTTATCAATTTATAAGGGGTGTTCTCCATTTAGAATTGTTCTCTTGTTGCCAATTCCAAAATCAAAACAAAACCAATTAGTTTGAAAATAAACTGGTTTTAAAAACATTGACAACATGTTATTGATATATGCGTGTTTTCGTTTTCAAAACTAAAACAAAAAATGTGTTATTGAATTTTTGGTTTAAAAAACGTATTTTCATCCAGTTATTTAATCATTCGTTATAGTCTCAATTTGTTTTTTTATTTTTATAAAACATTTTTCTCTAGTTGAGCTCAAACCGAGCCAAGCTCAAGCTTACGAGCTTTTGACTCGAGCCGAGATCGAGCTCAAGATTCTAGCTCGAGCCTTGTATTACCTTGATGAGTCGAGCTTGAATAGCTAACTATTTAGCTCAGCTCGGCTCAAATTCATCCATAATATTGATGGCTCCACAAACATATTGTGTTTTTTAAACAAAACTAATTTGTTTTTTATGTGACAATTTTAAAAACAAATAAAAGTAAAAACGTTCATGTTATAGACCCTACTCCCCTAACCCCCCACCCCCCCACATTGCTTAGGCATGATGATGAATTTGATTTCATTAGTTGGTTGGAAAAGGTAGAACCATATGAGCCATTGTTTGGTGTAACGGTGAAAATAAAATCTCAGGTTCACAAGCAGTTTTTTGTAGCCTATAGGGATGACAATGAGGCAGGTCCGCGGAGGGTTTTGTAAATTCTAGATTCTACCCGCCTCCTTAAACCTTCACCCGTACTTGCCCCAAAACCTGTAGGGGATTGGATTTTGAGAATCTAAACCCTCCCTGCATATGAAAATGCAAAACCCTCCTCAACCCTACCCTTCCCACATTCAAGGGTAGGGGTGGGTTGGGTTTAAAATCCACATCTAATTTCCTATTATTTCTTATCATATATAAGCAATAAATAAGTAAAACAACAAAAATAAGCATCAAGATTTATAATTATTTGATTAAGACATGTAAAAAACACAAACTATCAATTATCATTCACATAAAATTCAAAATATTATTAAATTCTTTTTTTAAATAATATTAAATTCAACTCCTAATATATAAAGTTTATATTGCTTTACAATAATATATGGGTCCAGGAGGGTTGGCTTTAGCCTAATACCGTACCTTACCTGTACTCATACAGATTGTAGAATCCCAGAACCTGTCATTTAAGCAAAAAACTCGCTCCACCGGAGAGGGTAGGGGCGGATAGGGTAGAAATTGCCATCCTTAATTGCATAAATGGGTAGGACCAACATTAGGTAATGCTGTAGTGGCCTTTTAGTTCAGGTCTTTATACCATAAATAACTGACACCAACATTGGGTATTGGCCTTTTTATTTACCCAAAGAAGGTGGTGGAAACAGAAGGTGTAGAAAAGTTGTATATATAAAAGGTGGGCCTACACCAGCTATATATATAATATAGCGACTGAGTCCATGTGGTATCTTCCTCCTCTTCCAATTTTGCTCCAAAATCTCCATTCCCGTTTTTATAATTTTTTGATTTTTTGATTATTTTAAGTCTATAAAATTGAGCTATTGGACCAATCAGACTTCAACACTTTCCCACCCCAACAGACCAATTTAAAGTGGACCATGAATGTGATTATATATATATATATATAACGACATGATATTAAATTAAGATATTAGATTTATTTATGATTTCATTTTTACTTTATTTTGTTTATTACAGCAAAAGTAAAGTAAAATTAAACCAAAATTTGCACTGTTTGGAGGGGTGTTTTGTCATTACGTATGCTGCTGCACCAAAAGCAAAACCGTGTACCTTGGCGAACATTCCATTTTATTAGTACAACCAAAGTTTGTGTTGTAAATAAAGGGGGCTTCAAGGTTGAGATAAGTTTTTACTTTGCCTCATTTTATAATTTTTTATTAGTTTTGTGTTCTTGTTCTCTAAAACCCCCACTTATAATGTAAAACCCCTTATATTTTGATGAATTCTTCCACCTGTTATAAATCAATAAAATATTATGAAGTGGGAGGATTGGAAAATTGGCCAAATGAGAAACAATACAAGAGAATGGAC